GTGACTCATAGCGACCCTATGAAGGAGAGTCCTCAACACTTGGGTATCTTTCATCCTCTCTCCAGGTTCACAGGGTTTCTGGAGGCAAACTATTATGGAAGTGGATGACACTCCTGCTTCTAAGCTTGTTTTAATCGGGGAGCTCCACTCCACACTGCCCACCATGGGTAACCAACCATTAATGCATTTGACACATCAGTGTCACAGTGTTCAGCCTCACAGCAACCACAAGTTACCGCTGTGTGGCAAGTGGACACCCCAGGGCTATACAAACTAGAGGAATGTTTGAACAGAAACTATGAAAGACAGTCCTGAGGGCCGCAGATTTTAAACACACACATACCCATTTCAAACTCGATTCATTGCCATTAAGTCAGAATATTTACCCATAGCAACAGAACAACATATAGAAAGGATAGATAAGTAGGTAGGTTGATAGCAGACAGAGAGCCAGAGAGAGATAAATACACAAATATCTCTACCCTGACATATATGCACATATATACCAACGGGACCTTTGGTGGCATGGTTGTGCTGCTATGCCAAAAGCTGTGCCTCTCTGCCAGTTCAAATCCATCAATGGCTCTGCAGAAAGAAGATGGACTATCTCTTTCTTTCAAAACCTGCTGAAGGGTTAGCTATGAGTCAGTTCTGACTTGAGGGCAATGGGCTGGGGGTTTTACACAGAGAGTGGTGGGTGTATGTGTGTATCTAGACACACATATCTATGGATAAGGGGTTTTGGTAGCTCTGTAGGCTAAATACAGAGCTACCAACTAAAAGGTGGGCAGTTTGACCTTCTCAGTGGTTATGCAGGACAAAAATGAGGCAGTCTGTGCCTGTGAAAATTTATAATCTTGAAAACCCTATGTAACACTTTTACTATCTTACAAAATCTGTAAAACATATCATATTGGGAAAGACAGAGGGTCAGTGAGAGGGATCTTCAACAAGTTGAATTTGCACAGAGACTGGAAGAATAATCTTGAGCACAGTGGAGATTGTGATGATGGTGTAGGATAGAGCAAGGCATCAAGCTTTTGTTCACAGGATTATTTTGAGTTGTAGTTGAATGGGAGGCACCTAACAACAGGGTTGCTATAAATCAGAATCGATTCAGTGGTAGTTGTTGTTGCTATGTGTGATTGAATCGTCTGCAAATATACATATACAGCAGCTCTGAAGCCTGTTCTGTCCTGAGCCGGTCTTACTGATTCTGATACACCAACCCCCATTGCTCCAGTTACTGTATCGATGCATCTCATTCGGTGTCTTCTTCTGTGCTATCCCTCCATCACTCCAAGCATGATATCCTTCTCCAAGGATCAGTTCCTCCTGGCCACATGTCCAAAGTATGTGAGTCAGAGCTTCAAAATTCTAGCCTCCAAGGAGAAACTTGGTTTCACCCTCTCTAAGACAGACCCATTTGTTTTCTTGGTGGCCCATGTTATGTTCAAGATTCTTCTCTAGCACCACAATTCAAAGGCATCAATTCTGTCATCATTAGTCATTGTCTCTGATGTGTAGCAACTAATTGCAAAGACCATAGCCTGGATTAGGTGTACCTTAGTCTCTAGACTGACACTGTTGGATTTTGGCACTCTAGAGAGGTCCTTGACAGCACATTTCCCCAATGTAATTAGTCTTTTGATTTCTCCAACTCCTGGTGCCAAAAGTATTGATTGTGGAGTCGAACAAGCTGTAACTCTTGCAACCTCAGTCTCTTCTCTATCTATCATGGTGCTGTCAACAGGCCCAAGTGGTGAGAATCTTTATCTTCTTCTTTTTTTTTTCCCAGAGCAATTTAATATTTTTATTTCTTATTTTATTAGTTTTAATGAACATTTACAGGGATTTTGGGTTTTCATTCCTTCATTGCTGCACCATTCTCTCTACCCTCCTCCCCAGTTCGTTCTTCTTCCCCCCCATGTCTGTTTTAATTGTCCAATTGCCACAGTGCTTGTCAAAGCAAGTTCTGATTAATCTCCTTTCTCAGTGTGTCCTTTGCCATTCCCTATCACTCCTCCCTGAGAGAGACTTCACCCTGAGTCATAAGGAAAAGGGGATGGCGTATTCTCTTAGCTACTTCCTGCTGAAAAGGGACGCTGTGGGTTTCAGGGTGAAGATCTTCTCTCACTACTCTAAAGGGCCCCTTTGGCAGTAAGAAACACATAGACTATTATGGAGATTGATTTTGGAATTTAGATGCACTGTTATTAATTGTGCTTAGCCATACATGTTCATATCCTTGAAGATGTATCATGGGAGTGTTGCAACCTAGAAGACACAAATTTAACTAGCAAGTTATAAGTACATGAGTCAAAAATTATGGAAAAGTAAAAGAAAAGATTCCTTCATTGTTTTACAAACCCTCCCCCATGTAGCCATCGCTCTAGACTCCTGTGATGACAGAAATACCTAGTCACATATCTCTTTTAAACAGTTTTCTACCTCCTCTGTTTCAGTGCAGTATACATTATTGAACCCATCTTACTCAGTCTCTCCCCAACCCCGAGGTTAGTGGCATCATGCCATATTTGTCCTTTTGGGACTGGGATATTTCACTCAGCATAATGTTCTCCAGAGTCAACCATTTTGAATAATATTGCATGAGTTCCTTGTTTTTTAATGCAGCATAGTATTCCATTGTGCGAATATACCACAGCTTCTCTAGCCATTCGTTTGTTGATGGGCACTTAGGTTGTTTCCAACTCCTTGCTATTGTGAACAATAAACATGGGTGTGCATATATCTGCTTGGATGTCAGCTATGGTCTCTTCAGGGTATATTCCCAGTAGTGGAATTGCTGGGTCAAATGGTATCTCTATTTGCAACTTTTTGAGAAAGCGCCATACTGCTTTCCACAGGGGTTGCACCATTTTACACTCCCACCAACAGTGAATCAGGGTTCCAGTTTCTCCGCAACCTCGCCAGCATTTGTTGCTTGCTGTTCTGTTAAATTTTGCTACTTTGACTGGGGTGAGATGATATCTCATAGTTGTTTTAATTTGCATCTCTCTTAGGGCTAGGGATTTTGAGCATTTCTTCATGTGCTTGTTAGCTATCTGAATGTCTTCTTCGGTAAAGTGCCTGTTCATATCCTGTGCCCATTTTTCTATTGGATTCTTTACTTTTATCTTGTTGTGGTGGAATCTTTATCTTCTTCATTATGAGCTTTAGTCCATATTGAAGATTACAGTCCTTGATGTTCTCCATTAGCACTTGAGGTCCTCCTCACTTTCAACAAGCAAGGCTGGTTGTTGATGAGTTTTCCTCCAATCCTGATGCCACATTCCTCCTCATAAAGCCCTGCTTCCTAAATGATCTGTTCTGAATACACGTTGAAAAGGTATGGAGACAGGATGCATCCCTGATGCACTTCTTTTCCTGATTTTGAACCATTCTTTGCTCTGTTCTGAGGACTACTTCCTGACCCAAGTATAGATTTCACATGAGCACAATCAAGTGTTCTGGGTTCTATTTTCATCAAGGTTAGCCATAATTTGTGATTCACACAGTCAAAAGCCTTTGCATAGTCAGTGGTAGTAGGTTTTGTTTTATTTTTACATTTCAGACAGAGAAGTCAATGGTATCCTCAGGTATGATTCAAAAATAGAATAACTAGAAACAAAATTTTTTATCTCAGGATTAAGTCTCCAGCATAACTCTACATATTCATTTAAAATGCAAAAAGGATTGATGTTACTGTTGTTGAGCTGGACTCAATCCACAGGGGACCCCCCAGCCGATTTTCAGAGGTAGTTCAATTGCACGGGAGGAGACTGTCCATCTTTCTCCCATGGAGCAGGTGGTGTATTTGAACCACGTGCCTTCCGGATTGCAGCACAGCTTTTTATCACTAGGCTACCAGGGGAGTGATGATTAAATAAATTTATTGGTTTAAAACATTGATATTTTACTATAATCTCCAAGATGACAAGCACTTGGTTCAATCATCAGTTTTAAGCAAAACTGTTGGGACACACTATAACTAAACTTCACTAATTATGTCTGATAGCCCTTATATATCGCAAGAATATGTTGTTGTCATTAGCTTTTATTTATCAATGTGTCGGGACCTAGTCTTGTTGATCCTCTACTGAGTTTGCAGAGGCACATGGGAGGAGACAGCTCATCCTTCTCCTACAGAGCAGCTAACTGATTTGAATCTCATGACCTTGGCTTGGCAGTGTACCTCCTTACTACTAAGCCACCAGAGTTGCTTACAAGAATATATTCTATACATTAATTTTGGATCCTATATGTAAAAATAATCTAGTTCCAAGGTTTTAAATAGTGTCTCTCTTAGATTTTCAAATTGCTAAAATTTGTTTAAATGCCTAGGTTTGTTGTTTGCTTTTTGCTTTTCAGTGTATGAGAACTCAACTTTTCTATGTTACTACAATTATTTTTCAGAGAGGATGAATTTTCCATTTGAATCCATTAAGAGAGAAAGAGAGAAAAGTGTGGAAATGCTTTCATTTACATCAAAATTTAACAAATGTAAGATTATGGTTACATAATTTTAAGAGGAAGAGCTGAAACCTTTAAGATTCACACTGGTGTACATTAACTTCAGGATCAAGATACCATGCACAGCAAAATAAAGCATCACCATTATAATGAAAAGAAAAATAAAATCTGTATTTTTAGTAAAAATATGCATACATCTCTGAGTATTAAGCAACTAGATGACATATGATCGCAACAATATGTACACACTATCACTTCTCTATTAAAAAGTTATGTGTCATTGAGTTGGAACTGACTCGTAGCTGACCTTCCAGTTTCAGAGGCACTAAACCACAGGGGAGATTGTCCATCCCTTTTTAATGGAACAAATGGTGGATCTGAACTGCATGTCTTTGGGATTGCAGTGCAGCTTCTTACCAGTAGGACACTAAAGCTCCCTACTAAAAATAGTTATCATGTTTTAAAATAACAATCACTAAAACTGGCCATTCAAAAGGTTAGTTCATAAGTCAAGAACCACACTTTACCTTTCCCTGAGAGAAGCTCGATTTAACACAGGGCTTGTAGAATGTTTAGGCATCGTTGAGGGTGATGAATGGACTAGCAATGTCCTTGTTGAATGGTGGGGCTTGGTGCATGACCTCGAATTCAAATACTCATCACATCTTTCCAAAGAGTCATCAAAGTCTCTGCCATGGGGTGTTCTGATAACCTGTTCAAAACATGCATATAACAGCATAAACATCAATGTGAATGTATCTGTACATACATATACACAAACAAACACATATGTTAAAAAAATGCCACTGTTATAAAATAGGACTGGTATGGGGGTTGGGGAGAAACTAAGAAAGAGGGGATAAATGATGTACACTGCATTGAAACAGATGAGGGTAAGAACTGTATAAAAGGAATATATGATTAGGTATTATTTGCATGCAATAGTCTGGTATAAGAGCTGCATAGCAAAGTGGACTGGGGGGAGGGAGGAGGAAATTGTGCAACAGTGAAAGAATTTTTTTTTTTCACAAAGAGAAAAGATAACTGGGGTGGGGAGTATGGAGGAAAATGTGCAACAATGAATGAATGGAAAGCCAAGTCTCTATAAACTTTGGGCAAAATCTCAATTAAAATTTAAAAATTTAAAAAAAATCTAATACCACAGCTATATTTAAGGAGTTCTGGTAGAATACTGGCAAAAAGCTGTGCTGCAATCCCAAAGGCATGCGGTTTGAGGCCACAGGTCACTCAGAGTTGGGAGAAGGATGGGCAGTCTCCTCCTGTGTGATTCCCTGTCTCTGAAAACCTGCTCGAGGGTCAGCTATGGGTCAGATCCAACTCTATGATGCGCAACACAACAACTGGTAGCCTAGTGCCAAGAAGCTGGAATGCAATCTCAAAGGCACAGGGTTCAAATCCACCAGCTGCTCCACGTAAGAACAATGTGATTAACTGCCTCTGAAAACCCACTGGAGGGTCAGTTACGGGTCTATTCTGACTCAATGGTACACAACAATGACAGCTATATTTGAAGGTAAAATTCAAAATATAGCAGAGCTATATTTTATCACTTTTATCACTATAAAATGAAATATTTAAATAATCTGAGTTGTTCTTTCCTCACTAACTACTGAACAAGGCTGTTGCTATCTGTTGTTAGGTACCACTGAGACAAATACAACTCATAATGATATAAACAACAGATCTGTACCTTTTCCTATCCTGTGACATCTGACACACTTGCGCCCACTGCTGCAGTTACTGTGTCAATCCACTTAGTTAAAGGTCTTCTCTGTTACCATCCATCCACCTTCCCAAGCATTTAGTCCTTCTCCAATGGACAGCTTCTCCTAATAACTTACTTTAAGTATCTGAAGTAAAGCTTTATCACCATTGCCTGCAAGGAGCACTCTGACTGGACCCTCTCCAGATCCAGAACATATCTGTTTGTTCTTCTGGCAGTTCATGGGAAATTCAACACTGTTCTCCAACATCACAGCTCAATGGCTTCAATTCTTCTGTTATTTTTATTCACTAACCAGCTCTCAACAGCATATAAGTGACTGAAAAAGATCACAGCCTGAATAAAGTGTGCCTTGATACTCAAACTAACAACTTTGCTCCCCAAAAATTTGGAAAAGTCCCTGACTGAAGACTTTCCCAGTGCAACATGTCTCTTTATCTCCTGACTGCTGGTACCAAGTGTATTGATTGTGGATCCAACTTAGATGAAGTCACTGGCAGATTCAATCTTTGCTCCACCAATTATGATGTTGCCTATAGGTCCACTGTTAAGAACTTGCTATCTTAACATTGAGATGCAATCCATATTGAAGCAATAGTCTTTGATTGCCTGCACCAAGCACTTCAAGTCCTCCTAACTCTCAGCAAGAAAGGTTTTATCATCTGCATGATGAAGGCTATTGATGAGTCTTCCTCCAATTCTGATGCCACATTCCTCTACAGAGCCCAGCTTCTTCAATAATTTGCTCAGTACACTGATTATCTATAGAGAAATGAATGATACAATCCTCAACACACACACTTTTTCTAATTTCAAACCATCCAGTGTTCCCTTCCTCTGCTCACACAAAAGCTTTGTGATCTAGAGATGGGTTTTGCATGAGCAAAATTAAGTGCTCCTGGATTCTCATTCTCAATGTGAGCCACAGTTTGTTATGATCCATACAGTCAAATGCCTTGGTGTAACCAATAAAACACAAATAGACATTCTTGCTATTGTTGTTATGGGAGCAACGGACATAGCAGCCACAGTGGAGAACCAGAGCCCTGACATGAGATGGAGCTATACTATTAGACAACAGCTATGATCATTTTGCCCATATTTGTTGGAGGACTGTTGGGGATAGAGCCAATATTGGCTGGACTGACAACTTTGTAAACCTGGCCTAAATCTGTGAGGCTCAAAGCCCAGGTACCCACGAGCACATTTCGGAAGCTGTCCGGACTGTATTCTGCTACTAACCTGAATTATAGCCATTGCCTTCCGCAATATGGTTCTGTGTTGTCTGTGTGCTACTGCATTGGATTCTGGACTCATTAAAGCTGTATGATTGGTATGGGATAAGTAGAAAGAAGTGCAGGAGCATGAAGGACATGTCTGACCTCCTGGGAAGTGGTTTTGTGTTGCTGGTGGGGACAATTTCTTCGTAAACTTGGTAAAAGTCATGCCCACATGACCCTTGCTCTTTTTACATCAAGCCAGCACTCACTTATGGCAACCCCACTACTCACAAAACGTTTTGAAGGTTATGATATATTAAGAGCAAATCAACAGGTCTGTTTTTGCCTGTGCCTCTGGATGGGTTTGAACCACCAAGCTTACTACTAGCAGTCACAGGATTAAATGATCTGGACAACCTAGGAATACCTAATCCTATGAGTTAGATTATCCATCCTATGAGTTAGAGATCAATATTATCTACCTTTCAAAAGTGAGAAAACTAAGGCGAAGTCAAACGTGTTAAGCAACAAGGTCAATGACCCATGGCATATTAGCCTTTGGCAGAAACAAAGAAAACTTCCATAGTTCAAGCTTTACAAGATTGCTACAAATAAAGCCCAACAATTCACTTAAGACTAAGGAAAAGATGGACAAAATGTTCTGGAAAAAAGGAAAAATAAAAAACATCAACTATGCATCCTATCTCCACACCTTTTCAACCTATACGCAGAACAGATTATCCGGGAGGCTGGGCTCTAATGAAGAGAAATGTGGGGTCAAGATTGGTGGACAATTTATCAACAATCTGCATTATGCAGATGACACAACCCTGCTTGCTGAAACTGAAGAGGACCTGAAGCACCTGCTGCAGAGGGTCAAGGACTGCAGCCTACAATATGGATTGAGGCTCAATGTCAAGAAGACAAAGATTCTCACCACTGGACCAACTGGCACCATCAGGATGGATGGTGAAGAGATTGAGATTGTACACAGCTTTAGTTTGCTTGGCTCCAGAGTCAACAGTCCTGGCACCAGGAGCCAGGAAATGAAAAGGCGTATTGCCATGGGAAAGTCTGCTGTTAGGGACCTCTCCAAAGTGCTGAAGAGCAGTAGTGTCTCTCTGGAGACTAAGGTGCATCTGATACAGGCCATGGTCTTCGCAATCACCTGTTATGCATAAGAGAGTTGGACAATGACCAAGGAGGATAGAAGAAGAATTGATGCCTTTGAGCTGTGGTACTGGAGAAGAGTACTGAGAATACCATGGACTGCTAGGAAAACAAACAGATTTGTCCTGCAAAGGGTTAAACCAGGTGGCTCCTTGGAGGCAAGGATTCTGAGGCTCCGTCTAACATACTTTGGACATGTTGTGAGGAGAGACCGGTCCTAAGAGAGGGACATCATGCTTGGGAGGGTGGAGGGACAGCGCAGGAGAGGAAGGCCCTCCCTCTATGAGGTGGATTGATTCAGTGACTGGGAAAACTGGGATGGGAGTGTCAGACGGTGCGATTGGCACAGGACAGAGCGGAGTTTAGGGCTGCTGTACATAGGGTCGCTATGAAGTGACTCGACGGCACATAACAACAACAACAACAACAATCAACAGACTGCAGTCGGTTATGAACAATGGTCCTTAAGGAAACAGAAACACTCAAAGAAAACCAAAAAAGGGTAATTATAAGCTACCTTAATTGCTCATATATAGAATAACATTAAGTAGAAATATTACTGATCTAACTCCAGCAATGTTACAAGACAGATAAAGAATGCACTTGGCTTAAAACAGTTAAGTTTATTCAAAGAATACAAAAATACTTTAGTGTGTGGAGACAGAAATGACTCTAGCTGATGTAGTTGACCTAGTTGGTTTTCACAGACTGTTAATCCCATGGGAGGAGACTACCCATCTTTCTGCTGAGGAGCCACTGACAGATTCAAATTGCCAAACAGGTACCACCTTAGGTTAGCAGTGTAAGCCCCTACTATCTATGCCACCAGAACTTTCCATAATAGGTAATCTTTATAAAATCTATTAATTAATCACAAAAATATTTTTGTCTGCGGTGGGAAGAGTATATTCAATGTCATAAAATAAAACATGTATGAATGAAATACCAACCTGCTCTTTAAACTTTCACTCACATCACAATAAAATTTTTAAAAAGCATTTGATAATATTGAATACACATTTGTGCAAATGTACATACATAGTTAAAATTTCAAAAAAGAACTTCCTTAACATGCTAAAAAAAAGCTAACAAATATCTATTTCAAATAATATTCATACCTATAAAACCTGAGACATCATTCAGTTTAAAAGCATGATGTTATTAAAGATAAGAATATATATTGTATAAATCTATGTGACAGCACATTAGAGAACCAGATTGACTATATCTGTCGAAAAAATAATTGGAGAAGTTCAATATCAGCTGTGAAAACTAGACCAGGTAATGATTGTGGAACACCATCAATCACTTCTATGCAAGTTCAAAATGAAGCTAAAGAAAATAAAATCAAATCCACAATAACTAAAGTTTGACCTTGAGTCTAATCCCACCAGAATTTAAAGACCATCTCAGGAACAGGTTTGAAGCCTTGAGCACTAATGAGAGATGATCCGATGAGCTTTGGGAGGATATCAAGAATATCATACAGGAAGAATGTAAAAAGCCAAGACAAGACCAAAATGGATGTCAGAAGAGATTCTGAATATTGCATTACAAAGCCACGAAGCCTAAGTAGAA